TAAAAGCCAGCTCATGGGTATAGACCTGAGACTGAGTAGCCATCCAGCCCCTCCTGGATTTCAGAATGTGTCTGACCAACCTGAGATATGATACAATCAGGCAATCTTTGAAACAAATCCTGCTGATCCAGATGACAGACAGCATACCTCAATACAAACATGTAAATCTTCAAGGAGCTTTTTATCTTGGTGACATAGCTAAACCCATCACATGGATGAAAGCCAACCTGATTTGGGGAGACCTGTATTGGCTATCTGTACTAGTAAACTAACCTACGTGCCGTCTTCTCATAGAGAAAACCTTTCTTTAGGAAGGTCTATGGTAGTCGTCTCAAACTTCAAGGAGAACAGTAATACGAATGTTAATGATAATAATGAGTCACCCATTACTGAAGATTCTTCCATATGCCAACTGTAAACACTTTATATGTATTAACTCATTTAATCTCTAAAATAATCCTCAGAAGTAGGCACTATGTGTCCATTTTATAGATGAGAAAATTGAGGAACAGAGAGTTTAAAACTTGCCCAAGATCACACAGCTAAAGCAAGACTGTTCAAAACGCAGGATCCTTGACCCCAATTCCAGAGATTCTAATTGAGTTAATTTCAACAGGCGCTTTGGAATATGAAATTTTGACAAGTTTTAATGAGGTAAGCACTTTTAGAAATCCTGACTACATGCTAGCCTCTGTAATGCCCAGATGTGCTAGATCCTGACTTCCTGACAGAATTGGCTTACTCATCCACACTCACAGTTGCAGGTGACCAGTAAAGCTTCTTGTAGAGTCTAGTCCATGGTCAGGCTGGAATCCAAGCTTGCACATCCACCTATTTTAAGGGGGTATATTGCCAATAGATTAAGCGCTTGGCACTTTGAAAATGAATGTAATCAGAAGTTACCCAGTAACAGAACCAATTACCCGCCTACTTTGCCATTTTCCTCCTCTGAAGAGATACTGGCTGAATGGCAATTGTGGGTAATTACTAAAGACACTTAACTCCTTGTATATGGCCCTGCTATTCACTTTCATGGTAATTTAAGACAGTATCATGATTAGGCCTGGGAACCTCCACACAGACATAAAAGTTATTCTGCTTATCGTTTATAAATTAAGAATATCTAGCATAAAGTCCACCATAATCATTACTCTTTTCTATTTATGTAAGGACTACACAGTTAATGAAGTACTTTTGTCCATACATATTCACAACAAGCCATAGACAGTCAGCCTTATTATTGTTCCCATTTCACTGCTAAAGAAACTAAGGCTCAGAGTGTTTATGATGGTTCAAGGTCAAACAAATAATAAGCTGCAGAATCAAGACACGACTCTGGGGGTGCCCGGGTGGCTCAGTCGGTTAAGCGTCCGACTTCGGCTCAGGTCATGATCTCACGGTTTGTGGGTTCGAGTCCCTTGTTGGGTTCTGTGCTGGCGGCTGAGAGCCTGGAGCCTGCTTCGGATTCTTTGTCTCCCTCTCTCTCTGCTCCTCCCCTACTCATGCTCTCTCTCTCAAAAATAAATACACATTAAAAAAAAAAAAAAGACATGACTCTGGACTGCTCTTCCTCAACACCAGAGGCCAGCTCTGGAAGTATGGGAAGGCAGTAGTGCATGTAAGTATGCAAGTCATTATCATAATCAGTACAACTAACAATAAATTGTCAATGGTGATGAATCATGGTACTAAAATGCAACTATTCTTGTTAGCTACCACTAGCTAGAATTAGCGGAACTTTATAAAATAAGAATGGTTCTTCTACCTAAAATCTAGTGACCTTTGGCAAAACTGATTGACTGGTCATGATTCTAAAATGAACAAGCACCTGCCCACATTAGTACATACTTCTAGAATATAATATGATGCATTAAGCAGGGTGGGATTCAGTGGGAAGATAAACCAACCCTAAAATTTAGGAAGACCTAGGTCCTACTCTGGTGACCTTTGACAAACCACATAATCTCCCTAAGCCTCTGTCTCCATCTGTAAAATGGCATACAAAGTCCTGCCTTATCCAGCCTCTTCCAGTTATTGCAAGGATCAATAAAATATTCCCCAAAAAGGCCCTCTGCAGATCACAGCAAACCACACAGGGACGCTATTTCTAATCTCGCACAATGATAATTTTCCTGCTTTTAGAACTGACGTCTTTACATTTCAAGAAATCATAAATAGACAGAATGGTTCTCTTAAACCAAAAAAGCATACTGAGTCCTGGCTGTCCTTTTGAAATGGATGCTGATGTCAGCGCAATCAAGAAATTATTAACCTCCATTTGGTTACTTAAAATAAACTGTACTGGCTGATTAAATGTGCTGAACATTTTCTCCAAGTAACCGTGCACATCACCAAGAAACCTTTCTCGTTCGGTCACACTTTGCAAATGGCAAATGCATCATTCAAAACTATTTAAAATCAATAACAAAAATCATCTCACTGTATATAAACAAGTTAATGGAGTAAGTGAAAACAAAGCAAATTTCTTAATGAGAGGACCCTGTTGCCCCCTCTAGGTGCCTGCAGTAAATGCTGGTTTCTGTAGGCTCTCCTCCAGAGGAGAGGGCTGCTGCTATTCAGCTAATGAATGACTAACTTAGGCCAGGGGGGAAATGACATCACCAGGGTGGAAAACCGATCTGCATTGGGAAACTTTCTACCTGCTTTACATTTGTCATAATTATTTTGCACAATGCAGCCTGCATTTGCATAATTTTGAGGCGTGTCATTATCTCAATTGAAAATTGTTTTAATATGGCTGAATAATTCACAATGACATCAGCCAAAGTCCTAATGAAATATACAAGTATAATCATACAGCTAATTACCAGCCGTGTTAGCATTAAAAAACAAATCATGCATAATATTAGACGATGTATACGCAGCTGAGGATTATAAATAGAGCCATCTCCCTCCCCAAACCCCCTAGAGTTTACTTTTAAATGGCAAGATTAATTTTCTTAGGTATGGCTCATATAGCAGTGACGAAATGTACAGATCATTACAACGGCTCACTTTCATTTCCCCTTAATGAACAATTTTTTAAAAATCGTGTGTTTAAAAGTACTGTATATCTATCCATTACCAGCAGTTCTAACAGATGCAACCTTGGGCTATTATTGTTTTTATTCTTAAATCAGAATTCACCATTTAATTACACCAACAGAAATTAAAACTGGACCAAGTGGGGTCAACTTGGGGTCTTTAAAAGTATTTCAATTTCAATTAAAAAAAGAGAGTGTGTGTGACCACAAAATATCTCATAAAACACTGAATAATTTCCTTCTGGGTTTAGTCAGAAGTCTATTAGGCACCAGCTCTTTTCTGGATATTTAATCCTTCCCTTTTCCAGATCACAGGCCATGTTGAAGTAATAAATTTGAAAAGCAAATAATAAGAAATCAGGAGGGGGAGGGGAGGAAGACAG